ACTCTGAGCAGGGCTATGTAAAAGTAAATGAAAATAAGGTTGTTGGTATGGAGAAAAGATATGTCTCAGACTTTAAACAATTTGCACCTACAGAGATTCTCAAGGCTGGATTCATATGTTGCCTTCAAAATTGTATAAGTATTGAGAAACCGGATAATTAGGAAATGAACACACTTATTAAGCAGGATGTTAGATCCCTGAACGATTATCGCCCACCCTAAAATTTCTAAAGAGGAATTTTTATTTAGAAATATTGTGAATGATTGAAATTAAGTGGTGCATAAAGCCTCACGATTTCTTTGTGGACAAAAAAAGCAAATATCTGAATTTAACAGTCAGGTGGTAGCATTTATATGGGGTAAACCCGTTGACTTAAGCCTAGTAAGTTATTTTAACGTAAAATCGTCTAAAAAGTATCATGGGGCCAAAAATATTAATTGGTTGATCATATATGTGATAGCAAAAATGATATTTGTAGCCGGTCGCTAATCTTGGCCTAGTCTTTGTGAGTTATGTCAAAGTACAGTTTCCTGCTTTGATGAAGTTCACGCTAATGCTTTAGCAAAGTTGATTACTGATGAAACGGAACCTAATGACGATATGCTGAGAACTCATATGCAACAATTAGTCGCCCCAACGCTAGGGTAATTTCTGTTTGGTCTCCAGATATGCTGATTCTTGAGAAACCTATACCCAATTTTTACATGAAATTAAAGATCCTATCTCAGGCTTTATTAAGTCATCTATTGTGTTATTTTTTATCGTATCTACGTATCTGCCCTCATTATCAAGATGTGCAATGAAGAATATTTGTATAAATGGGCCATACTCTCATATGGATTGGAATTCACAGTAAATGAGCACAGAACAACTTTAAGACAAATATGCTCAAGTAAGACATAAAAGCTATAAGGCGAAATTAGTTAAAATAAAATAAATAGGACACTGTTGTGATCTGACTCCTAGATGTTTGACATAAGAGGCCTGATCCGAGACCCAGTGTTGGGATATAAAGTGAAAGAATATGAGCTAGAGGCTGTGAATATTCTAAATTTGCAAGAGGCATCATGATTAAATGCTGCATAGATGCGCTATATAGAGATGCAGCGCTGACCTAAAATCGGTCCGGGGAAAGGTAACTTTGGTGTTGCAGAGCAATCGAAGTAGTTTTGACGCGTATTTAACAACACAGTCGTTAGGGGACTATGTCCCAGTTTCGATGTAGGATTAGAGTGGTCATCCTTATGCGCAGATACACTCGACGTTGTCATGATACAGATGCAGATACTAAACGCAAATAAGGGGCACTCGATCACCTTCATTTGGGGTAAAGGTTGATTGTATGAACTGGCCGAACTGAAATTGCGGCATTGTAACACGTACCTCACAATTCTTAGAGAGCCAGGTGTCAGGATTTTCTTTTGGTGTTCTAATGAGTCAAGATGCTATTGTAAGAGCGTGGTAGTCTCATTGAATTAATGCGTGTGGAAAGACGTATGTGAGTGACGCATCATCAGACGTACTCGTTCCAGGAGATATAGTACCTTTGAAAAGCTATTGGTGCTAGAAGTTATTCCTACCTAACATTTTGTGGGATATGATGGCCTACTTATAATGGACTTAGAGCAGTTTACTCAGTCTGGCGTTAAGGATTGAGTCTAGTGGGTCACATGTTAGCTTCAGGTACGACTGATGAGGATGTGTTTGGCCGACAGATACAGGGCAATTCGAAGCATGGGCCTAGAGGCGGAGGTGTATGTGTGGATAATGAGGGGCTTGCGCGCAAGTGGCGAAAGTCGGTGGAAGACGGCCTGATGCGTGAAATATTGAATGTGTTACCAGATCTCAATGTCTGGCGTCACCGGTTAAATGTATACAGTAAGAAGGATTGACTGAAGTCACCACGGTAGATCAGCTAATTTTAAAGCTTTGGATTAAAGGCTCTAAAATAAAATCATATTGATGTGATATTATAGTATTATCTAGTACTGGGCTACAAATGATTGACAAACTGTATGTGTACTAAATGCTCTGAGACCCAGTTTTTCAGAGATGAATTATTTTACTAAAAGCCTTATCGAAGGCCTACGCGATCGGCGAAAGGGTGGAAAGATAGACTTTAAATTCGGGAATATTTAATAACTGACAGCAGATATCTAAGTGCTAATAGCAGCTAGTTTATGTTAAATAAGTTTGAATAATTAGCTTTAGAATATGTAAATGGGCTTAGTAGACAGACTATAAACATCATTGTTTGATACAGCTTTGCTAATTTAATCTTCTTGTTTTGGAGGAGAAAGAATTTTCTCAATGTTTTCATATAAACACACTAAGTGGAATTTGAGTGAAATAGAGTCCAGGGTAGAATGACATTTTAGAAAATCTCTCAATTCCTCATGATCTTTCACGACTTAGGGACACAGATTATTTTCCCTCTACTACCTAGAATTGAATCAACTTTGAAGATGATTTAGGCAATTTTCAATTGTATATGAGATATTTCTTTACGAAATAGTCACGCTCCTTGGTGAAAAGAAAAATGTAATAATAACGATGAAAAGTTTAAGATGTGATTGATCGTCCTTGGTAAAAATTGATACAGCCTATAACTACCACTGTCCA